GTGTCAGATTCACAGCAGATTTATGGTTGGATCCTATATGAGGTACCTGTGCCATACTTTGCATACCTGTATGTCTATAATCCTGTGTTTATATACACTCATACAAGCAGAATTAAGTAGACTTCAACCACAAGGGTAAATGCTGTGTGGGTCTTCAGTTATATAGCAGGAAAGCCATCAGAAGTCTACGGAGGTCCCCATGATTATTTCCATTTCCATTTCAGAGCTGAAAGCAGGCTCTAGCCCCGGCACTGGATGGGGTGAGAAACACAGCCAATGCCAGCAATGCTTCCATGGAAAACATCAGCAATGTCCGTGTTGGCTTTTGCTGGTCTGCTCAGATGAGTGTTGCGTGCAGAGACCACGCTTACTGCTTAAGGCATGTTGGGTGCAGTCAGTCTGTTTGCTGCACTCATTCGGTTAGGAAGGGCGGACACGTCAGGAGCATCCGGTGAGAAGTTCTTGCTTGAGAAAGCGAATCTGGGGTGGAGGGGGCAGCTGCCATCCTTGCCCAGGGCTATGGTGCTGGTCCAACCTGCCTTTCACCCTGTCCCTGCCACACTCTGACCTCCCGCCCTAGGACTACAGATGTTTCCTGTGAGGCCAGGTATTTCTTTTTATTGGTTATTGAGGAGAATAATAGCCTTTGTTAGTGAAGTATATAGCTCTGGGTTAATCTTCAGTAATGGTTGGTAATGTTATTTACAGATTAATTTTGTATTTATTTTCTGGCTAGTACTGCCTTTAGATTCAATTCAATCCTTCCTTCCTTCCTCTGTCAAGTCAAAACCTGCTCGTCTGCTGCCTGCAGCAGGGAAGCGTGGCAGGAGAGCCTTGCAGGCTCCTGAGGGGGCTCAGGGCACTAAAATGCTCTTTCTTTGCATCAGGGATCAGGCTGTTGTCCACAGAGGAGCGATCGGCAGATGCGGGGTCCAGCCCCATTTATCCCTGCCAGATGGTGCTAAAAATGCTAGTCTGGAGCACATGTTGCTTCTATTCAACCAAATGCTTGTGCCATGCTGTGGCCTCTCTGCCTCTGAACCACTGAGCCTCAGTCAGCAAAACACTGGCAGCAAAGGCCCCTGTAGCTCTTGGCTGAGCCCCTCTCCGTGGCCTGTAGAAAATCAGAGAAATCAAACTCACAGCCCTGCGGGGACAGACAATAGCGTGCGGGAAAGGAAGGAAGGGGTTAAAGAGGGTTTAGCACACACAGAAAGTAAATATTTGAGACAGAAACGCAGAAAGAAGGAATCATGGCGAGAGAAGGGCAGGAGGAGGAAGCAAGAAGTGTGAAGAGAAGAAAAAGGAGGATTATATTGTGGCAGAAAACAAAGGGATGGTTGTATGAGAAGACCGTTGGGAAGGCACTGGGGAAAAGAGGGTTCAGCTCTGCACAAACTTAGGGCTGACACTGGACAAGTCAATCTCTCTGTGTCTCAGTTTGCAAAGGCTACAGTGAGAATAATAAAGTCTCCTTTGTTCTGCCTCTCTCTGCTCACACCAGACATCCCTCCTGCTTGTACGTTGTGGAAAGCCAAGATGCTACCATACTGCAAACAAAAATAATATCCACTGAGGCTTTGAGGGAAAGAAAAAATAAAAGAGGTAGGAAGGCAAATAGGCTATGATAAACCTAGGAGGTAACTGCTCCAAAAACCAACGTGGGGAAAACAAATACAGGAGAGGCCTTTACTGAGGGAAGAAGAAAGAAACAGTATGGACCAGATTAATCCTACTGTTGCCTCCTGGACTCCAGTGGAGTTCCTCGAGGGATGGGTTTAGCCCAAGGAGTTCAGTTTTGTTTGGTTAAAGAAACTTCATGCCAAAGTTTTTAAATAGTCAAATCTGTTCTGAGAAGTATGAGAATGTGGGCTGCCTTTCCTGAAACATTGCATGGGACTTGGGATGAACAACTCCCGCTGAAGGCATCAGGAGCCAAGTGATTAAGCCCCATGCAGTGCTCTGACAGGAGGCCTTCTTGCCTACGCATACTTTTTTCAGTATAGAAAGTATTTCCATATTTCTAGCAGCTGATCTTTATTTGAAGCCAAGAGCTGCATTTTTTCAGATTAGAGCTGAAGCTTTTCTAGGAAAAGCCACTATGGAGCAGACCGTGGGTCCATCTAGCCCAGGATGGTGTCTCCAGCAGAGCCCCTGCACTCTGCTTAGAGAAAGAAATCCTAAAGCCTGCGGGGCTCTCTCCAGGGATAATTTATATTTCTATCCAAGAGTTAGAGTTTGGCTTCCACTCTGAACTCTGTAGGCTTATATTCTTTCCAAAACTCTTGCTTATTTTATTAATCTTTACAGTTCCCTGTAGATGTTTCTTGTTTGCCGATCTCTAACCCGTTCAGGAAGCCCCTTGAGCTGCTGGCCTCCCTGTCCTGCGGCAGCAAGTTCCCCAGCCCAGCCGGGGCATCTGTGCAGAGAAAAAGGCATTTTCTTTTCTCCATCTCAGGTTGGCTGCATTTATTGTGGAAGCATGCCTTAAGCTTCCCATCTCACCCAGCTGCCTTCTCATTACAGCATCTCACCTAAAACTGTGAGCTGCTTCTGCCCCGCGGGGAATCCCTGCGAGGAGATGGGCTGTGCATCTGTGACACTGCTCTGTCCTGAAAGGCGACTCCGCCATCCGGAGGATCTGCTTTCATTTTTCAGTGCTTCCAAATTTACAAGAATACATTATTCTGTCAGCGGCTCTTGCAGGCATGGGGTGTTTTCATCTCGTGTCACGGAGGAATAAAGGTGTGTGGATAGTCACAGTGTCCCTGCTATGTAGCTAGCACAGTAAACCAGGGCATGGTAAAGGCGTGGGGGGCTGCAGGGTGACTGGGACATGGCACCCTGCGCCCTGCACCTCTCTTTTGGTAAGGAGGCGATTGCACCGATCAAGCTTCTTTGCCTACCATGGTGAGACTTGCACGTAGAAGGACAAAAGGAGCACTGCTGTGTAGTCTCATCCTTCTGATGAAGGCGAACAAGCAAACCAGCGCGTGGACAATGAGCAGCATGGCTCCGTGTTCAGCCTGCCCTTCCTTCATCCAAATGTCCCCTCTCCTTCTGCTACAGATGGGCTGGTGTCTTACAGCAGTAGGTGAGAGATGTAGGGCAGGATACAAAGTACAGCCTCCATCATCATCTAGTCATGAACTGGCTGCATGGTTGTATTCTCAGGACTCTGTGGCAAAAAAATTCGATGGTGCTATGCAGACATGGCTTTGGATCCAGCACGCAAACAAACAAACTGAATGTATTAGAAACAGCTGGGGAATAGGATGAAAATCAGCATTATTAGGGGTATGCTTATAATAACTTATGAACTGGGGAATGCATCATTGCTGCTCTGTGCTCTCCTGGAGACAGATTTGCTGTTGCTTTTGGAGCCCTTATTACAGGCATTGGTTTTCCCATTTATGCATCCCTTCCCTCAGCCCTTGCTGGAAAACCTGACAGTGTGCTCTTGTAACTGCTAAAGTGAGGATTTTTCAGGAGTTGGAGCGAGCTCTAGAAGCAGTAGCCATGGCCTCATCTGTGGGTCATGACCTGCCACTTGGGTACATCACCCCGATGAGGGGCATTGCTTTAGGCACTGATCTACCTTCAGGAGTTTCCTCCCTCATCCTGAGGGAAGTTTTGCAGCTCTTGGGAGTTTTTGTCAATTCTCTGTCTGTAGGACAGGCTCACCGTTTTCCAACTCCTTCATAATTTTCAAGGGTGACTGACCTGTCTGGGGGGATACCGAGAAAGATGAAGCTGGCAACACTGTCCCCATTCATGTCTTTTCTTGCCCTTCCTGTACGTAGTCAGGACATTGGGGCTGCTGGCAGCAAGCTCCTTGCCTGCAGCCTGCCCTGCTACAGATCAGGAGGTCACCATATTTAAAAGTGATGCATTTTTCTCCTGGTCTCCATGTGGATTACCTCCGTGAGTTGTGGTTCTTCCTCGTGGGAAAGTGTTTGAAGTTGTCCTTCAGCCCCCAGTATAGTGGGCTCTAGCTAAGCAGTCCTTACTGTGTTTTACGTATACGAATACCGCACCCGCCGATTTTTTTTTTTTGTTAATGGTCACTAAGACTTCAGTTATGTATAATGTTTATTGCACAGTTAAGTGACTAAGAATTGACTTTGCTGTTTCCCTGACAAATTTAACAAATACTGGCCAAAACTCAACTTGCACTGACACTGCTGATCTTGCAGCTGGAGGAATTTGGCCCAGTACTTCGCTTCAGTGTCTTTGAGCCATTGTGATGTGTCTAGCACATTGGCTGTTCTCGTTTGCTTCACGGTTGGATGAGTTGCATATATACAAGCTGCTTGAATTCCAAACATTGCGAATGGCTAAACGGTTCCTTCCTTTGGTGTAAGAGCTAGCTATAGCCTGGGATCTGAGAGATTATTCTTGTTAAGAGGTTAAGTTAGTAGCAAAGTCTAGTATCTTCAGAGTGCACAAAGTCCTGCTTGCTGGAACACGTAAAGAATTCACAACCAGGACTAGTTTTCCTGGTCCCAAAATACTTCACTGACACTAAGTGCTCTTTAGGGATTTCTCAGAACCGTGTTCCAGTGCCTATTCAAATTGCAGTTACATTGGTCTTGGCTTTGCATTGAGTTACATCACTCATCCGTGTGCTACTTTTCACAAGCGTAGGCTCAGCCAGTGAGCTTGCTCATCTTCGGGAATTGAGTGTCCCAGGGGTGACACCTGAGAGCATGTGGGGACACAGAGAGGTAAATCTGATTCCTTGCTCAGAAATTATTAACCTTTCAGAACCTCTGAAGGGTAAACCGATGAGCTAATTCTCTGTATTTTTTGTTTACGAACACATCTCTATTGATGTTAATGTTATTTGTGTATCAGCCATTAGGGTCTGGCTGTTGGTACTTTATGTAATTTAGAGACTTTCTCGAGGCTGATTTTGAGAAATATGAAGTGTCGGTGAAGCAGGGAGAGAGAACATGCTCTCTTCTAATGTGGCTTTCCTGTTTTCCTTTGTTTTGCAGGTTCTTTTCGAAATGATGGCTTAAAAGCTGCTGATGTCCTTCCTATACTAAAGGAGAAAGTGGCCTTCGTGTCAGGTGAGCACATCTTTTCTGGATCCCTCCAGCCCAGCACGAGCACTGCCTGCTGCATCCTGGTCCTTATGGTATTGCAGAGTCATGAGGGACCAGTCTTGTGTTTGGACTTTGTATTACTTAAATCAGCTCTTCTGCTAAGGAAAGGGCTGTACGTGGAACAGGGCTACCCAGTAATACTCAAGAGTGTTAGAAAGTGGCCCATGGTGTTTTTCTTCATATTCTGAGAAACAGGTAAATGGACAGGTGGCATGAAATGCAGCTTCTGAGCTTCAGCCCAGACCTGTGCTGTCTCAGCGTTCAGCATGGTTCAGGGATGTGCTTGGGGTTCACCGTCAGTGAAGAGCATTGATTCCCATTTGTAAGAAGCACTCAGATGTATAAATCACTGGTGTTTCATTTGCAATCCCAATCAACTTACAGTTAAAAGCACCATTGTTGCTGCATTTACTAATAACTCAGATGCTCAAACATCTCCTGCAGTCCTGTACAAAGATTTACAGCCTTCATTAAGGAGACAAATCTCAAGGAACTGGGTGTGGATGAGGAGTAGAGAATATGGAAATGCCTTGGATGATATTGTTTCTGGAGCGAATTACGTCTTGTCAGGGAGAGGGGGAATAGGAAGTCTGAAGCAATCATAATCTTGCATGAAGTCACTTAAATTGGCAGCATAAAACTGGGGTATTTCCAGTGCCAGCGTTTCTGATGATTGCAAATCATTCAAGTTGCTTTTGGTGATCTTCCCTGGTGCAATAAGAAAACCTGCATCAAAACCAGCCCACCCCCTTTTTCGCAATCTTTGCTTTGTTTCCTTCATCTCCACAGCAATGCTAACTGCAGAGGGGAGGAGAGCAGCAGCAAGGCCGTTAGGTGCCTGGGTTTTTCCTTCTCAACCCTCTTCCTGGGTGCTGGAGCAAGGCCCATAAGGGTGGGGCTTGCCAGCCTGCTGAGCCATGGAGGTGCCTGGCCAGGCAGGAAAAGCTTTCATCTTGATTAATGGTTGGGATATATTCCCATATAGCAGCAGGTAAATGGCCCAGGGATTACGAATCCAGGAGTGACTTGGGCAAAGGATTTGCGGCTCTATAAACCCTAAACTTTCTGACCAATGACATGAAACTCCAGGGCGGTGAATTTTCAAGGAAGCAGGGACAGGTAGCCTGGGAGGAGTACAGGGAAGTTGTCTGAGAGGTCAGAGATCGGGTTAGGCGAGCCAAAGCCCTGACAGAATTGAACCTGGCCAGGGACATCAAAGCCAGTAAGAAGGGCTTCTATAGGTACATAGGGGGTAAAAAGAAGATTAGGGAAAATGTGGGCCCTCTGCGGAAGGAAATGGGAGAGCTGGCTTCCCAGGATATGGAGAAAGCCGAGGTACTCAATGCTTTTTTTGCCTCAGTCTTCACTGTCAAGGGCACAAGTCATACCCCCAGAGTCACGGAAGACAAGGGCAGGGATTGGGAGAATGGAGAGCCATCCATGGTCAGCGAGGATCAGGTCGGGAACACCTCAGGAACCTGAAGGTGCTCAAGTCTATGGACCTGATGGAATACATCCGCGGGACCTGAGGGAACTGGCAGATGAGGTTGCTAAACCTCTGTCCATCATATCTGAGAAGTCGTGGTGGTCTGGTGAAGAGACTGGTGTCTCATTCTGAATGTCCTGAAATATTTTACATGGTGGTTGTCTTTCACTGCTCCGAAGAGGAGACCGTAGTCATAAAAACACAGCGTAGTGCAGACTTGTTTGTGACACAGAGCTGAACCAGACACTCTGGGGAAGTGAAAGGAAGGAATTTATGCAGGGACCGTACTGGAATTTAGCGCTTGGCTCCTGCTGTTCCTTTGCATGGAAATGACTACAGGATCATTTGGTAATTCATGGAATATTTAATAACGACTTGTCTGGATCGTTTATATAGCCCCTTCCACTGACAGTGCCTGCATTCAGCTCTGAGCCAGAGGTTCTCACACCACATCATCAGCTCGTTAGGTGCTGTCCTGGCCCAAGCTTGCCTCGTGGGAGGGCGTTAAATGAGCAACGCCAAAGTGATCCCCCGGGGATTTGCACCGCGATCTGCTGTAGGCAAGGGACAGCTCGCTCCTCGTAGTCTCACCAGCCTCATGACTTGTATCGGCTCAAAATGTGCCTGTTCCTGGCACAGCTAGGTAGAGAGCGGTCCTAGGTTTTACACCTCGTCTCTACGGTGTCTGAACGCAACGACTGTGGGCAACAGTTGTCAGGGGCTTTTGCAGATAAAATGCTCTCAGCTTCTGGTGTCTTAGTGCAATAGCCCCAGCATCGCCCTCCAGCCCAGGGTTTAAGTACTGCTCAGTCTGCCCCTGGGTTGTTGTAATAAAGCAGATTAAAAAAGGGATTTGAGCACTTCAAGTGATGACTAGGTTATTTTTAATTAAAATGGAATAACTTCCTAGAGTATGCTTTGAGCACAGAAGAGAAAATGTTTGCCAAAATAGAGAAATCAAATAGCTGGACTTTAGAAGTTTTAAAAAAATGTGTTCTGTAGTTAGCACAGATTCTGGGAGCACATTGCATTTGTAATCAGGTTTCCTTGAAGAAAAGGAGATTTTTATTGAGTCTTCTTCAGAGTTTTATACTACAGTTAATTTTAACGATAACACTACAGTAAAGTTGTCAAGGGGGTTCTCCTTACACCAGCAGAATTTATCAGCGCACACACACCAAAATCTCAGCTGAGCATCTCAGTTACACAGCTTATTTCTTTTCTCATCTGCTGTGACTCACCAGTTCGTCTGTTAGCCCGTGTTGCAGCAGGAAGGCTGCAGAGAACAAAGGAGCTCCTTCAGGCAGGGGCTATCCTCTACCTTGTGTTTCAGCGGTGTGGATGCTCCACACCTGGACCAGGCAGAGCAGTAGGGCAGAACAGCGGAGTGACACCGGCTGCTGCCTGCTCCAGCGCCGGCACATCAGGACCTGCCTGCACAGCCCTGGAATCTCAGAAGAGCACTCAAGCTTTCAGAAGTGCACTTAATTTCAGAGTTGAAACACAGCTCTAACTAGCTGGGCACAGATTCATCCAGCCTAAATGCCGTCTGGGACTCTGTGCCTGGCGCTTGGCCTCGGCTGGCTCAGCCAGCAGCAGGCAGCATCCGCGTCCCTGTGCCGCAGGAGGGTTGAGAGGCAGATAATGCTGCGTTTTTTTCCTGGAACTGGACCTTGATTTCTTCCAGTGATCTCATGTATGAGCTAGACTTGAACCTAAGCAAAGTTCATTGTGTATGCACCTGAAAATCCCATCTCGGCACGCATAAGCAGAGAGAGCCTGAGCAGTCGGGAGCACTGTGCATCCCGGCTATCGCCGCCTGCTTCCATCACGGACCTCGTGGAAGCAGATTAAGCCGGGAACTGGCAGGGGGAAAGCTTTGGCCGCCTGCTTGTTGCCTAAGCCCTAATAAAACCTTGGCTTTGCATGGGTGCTGCACTGTGTTGCTTCCAGCAACAGAATGGCTTTGGGAACCACTAGGGAGCAAGTTACAGGCCACAGACGGGTTCTTGTGTTCTGAGAAGGAGGTGAGCGCAGAGGAAAGGAAATAAAACAGGTTGTAGATTATTTTGGGTGTTTGTTTTTTATTTTTTTTAATGAGAGGTGATGAAGTATTTTGGAAGCTGAGCTTTCCGAGGAAACACAGATGCTGTTTTAGACGACTGGTTTAACTTGGGATGTTGTTCAGCTGCGTGATTATATTTATAGGAGGTTTTCTGTTGATCGGTGCAACGTGTATGAGGCTCTCAGGAGAGGGAGGGAAGCGTGGTACCGTGCTCCTATTCCACACATGGAGCTTTTCATACACAGGCTATGAAAACCTTGTTAGTTGGCTAATGCTGTTTGGCTTGCGGAAAACATTTGCCCTTTCCCCACGTCTCACCCAGAAAAGTTTCTCAGGTTCCTTCCCAGCACTTCCCATTCCCTGGAGCGCTCGGAAGAACAGCAACGTGTCGACTTCTGTCTGTCACCCAGGTACCATCAGGAGTACAGAGGAGGAGGCTGTCCAGGGTTGTGAGAGGAGGCTGAGTGTGGAGGAACCGTCAGCAACAGACAGAAGGATGTAATGAGCCTGGTGGGCTGCTGCAGCTCTGACCAGCAGAACTCTGAACGCGTGTTCAGCAAAGCGGGACGTTCCTCTATGGACTTTGGGCAACATAAGCCAGAGGGCAGGGAGGAGTGGATGTGGTAACGGTACCGCCATCTCCACCCTTCAAAAGCCACTGTCCCCAAGCCCACACGGGTGTCTTGTGAGTCGGGTCACAATGACGTCTGAGCCTGAAGGGAAGACTGAGAGATTTCCCAAAAGGTCTTTCAGAGGAGGAATTTCAGTGAAAATTAATCAGATGAAAGCACAATTTGCAATTAGGTTTCACTAAATGTAGGCCTCCAGGATGAATCAAAGAGGAAGGCTCAGAGGGGAAGGCTCTGACCTTCCCAAAAACATGTCTGAAGGCACCAGAGGTCACAGTGCTGGGGTACATGTGACCACATGTGGAGGGGCATGTTTTTCTTTTTTTTTGCGATGGATGAACTCCACTCTCCAGAGAAAGGATTAAAATGAGATCCCTGAGCCCTCTGGGCACCGCAAGAGTTGAGATCCAGGTTTCAGGGAGTCTCAAATGTTGATTTGTGGACACTGGAATTTGTATTGGGTTGGGAATAGAACTAACCAAAATATTTAATTTTTGAATTACATCAGCTTTTGTATTTGCCCCAAAAGTTTTGATTTAAATTAGAAGTTACCATTCTCCTCTTCCTCTGGAATGGAAATTTCAAATGAAACATCAACAATTCTTTTATATTTTGTTACAGAAAATGTCTTGCTTTTTATACCATTCCCTGATGTAGTTTGAAATCAACGGAAATTCCAAAAAGAGGAAATATCCTATTAGAAAAACATAGCATTGTTTGGCTATTGAATTTTCCTAGTGGTTTTGAGCCATCATGCTTTCATCTAGAATTTGCTGCGGCATTG